AGCTTATATATATATATATATATTTATTTATTTATTTATTAAGGTTTTAATTAATTAAAATGGGAGATAATTAGTTTTTATTATAATATTTTTATGATTTAATTTTTTTATATATGAAATGGCTGGAAACTGTTGGGTTTCTATTTGGTTGCGTTGAAGACAACTAAAACACTTATTGTTTGTGTGGTTCCATCTTTTGTAAGTAAAATAAAGTCCAATGTCACACAATATTCATGTGTTATAGTGGCTGGTTGCATTTTACGCCCGTATTTCATATATTTATTAATTCAATATATGATAATCAATGGCATGCTCATTTTATAATATATATATATATATAGTAATTGAATATTTATTTTGTATGTATAAATAAAACCAAGTGCATGATTAGATATTCTTTTACGATAATTTTGTTTATATATTGATAATTTGATTGATTCTCATTAAATAAAATTTTAATTGTCTAATAATCTTTATAATTTTATTGATTATGAATTAGTTACAAAACCTATAATTAATAAAATTTTATAATAAATTATTTAATTATATTTAAATATAATAAATTTTATCTCACAGGTATTTTTGTTATATTTGTATAATTAATTAGGATAAAAGATCGTAATTTTGTAATTTACCCACATAAATTATATGATTTTGACAGTTTTATTGATAAATTGATTTTTAGATAGAAAATCATAAATGACATATACATATAGATTAAAATTATGTACAAAATTGATAATTCTATCATATAATTGATGAATCTATTTGATTTGCAAATTTAGCCATGTAATTTTCATGTTGCTAGTTTCAATTTGATATGTGTGTGTTTGCATTGGTAAAAACATATAATTTAAATTATTATGCCTTAAAATTTGACACAAGTTTTTAAATCATGTAGTACCTCAAAATGTTAATTTTTTTTCTAATACTCAATGTGACATTCCCAACTTAAAAGGGATAATTATAAGATTTCAAAAGTGATCAAATTGATATTACACTATATGAGCGATGAGAGTGATTCAATTTGCTCAGTGTACTGTTTATTACGACTAAAATCTCAGTTGAAATACATATTTTGTCGATTAATATGAAAATGTTTGAGACTTGCTTAAAGTCATTGATGACCAATTTGTCACTTTTGATAAGCATTAGCAAGCACTCCAATCATGAAGTTCTCTCCCCTTAGGCTCACCAAAGTGAAAGGTGAGCATGAGCATATAAGGCAAATGTGTCATATTTTAGCTATACTTAAGAAACTCAAGGTTGATATATCTAAGTGTTTTCTCGTGCATTACATTTTGAACACTCTTTCAAAAGAATATGGACCTTTAAAGAT